ATGTGGAGAAGCTTGAGAGAATCCAGAGAAGAGCCACACGCATGATCAGAGGTCAGGAAAACAGACCTTACAACAACAGGCTGAGAGCTATGGGACTCTTCAGCCTGGAAAAGTGCAGGCTCCGGGATTATCTGATGGCCTTCTATAAGTTTATCAGGGGGTCACTACCAGGATCTGGGGGAACACTTGTTCACCACAGTGCCCCAAGGGACAACAAGATTGAATAGTTATAAACTCCTGCAAGACCATTTCAGGCTGGACATAAGGAAGAATTTTTTTACTGTCTGAGCCCCCGAGATCTGGAATAGCCTGCCATCGGAGGTGGTTCAAGCACCTACTTTGAACGCCTTCAAGAGAAAATTGGATGCTTATCTTGCTGGGATCCTATGACCCCAGCTGACTTCTTGCCCCTCGGGCAGGGGGCTGGACTCAATGACCTTCCAAGGTCCCTTCCAGCCCTAATGTCTATGAAATCTATAAAGTTATGAATATGATAAAAGGATTTTTTCTTTTCAGTGCCATTTAAGTGTCATTGAAGTTTAGATTAATCCATTGTATTCATCATAAAGGAATAGACTCTTTAATAGAGACTTATCTTTTTCATATTTGTAAAAAGACTAAATGTCTGTTTTTTTGCAGACAACCAGCCTCCTCAACTTCAAACTATGCAAGGTATGCTGCAAACTTTTTACGGGGAGAATTTTGTGTACCAGTTTTTGGCTTCAGATCCAGAAGGTTCTGCTGTCCTTTTCACATTGGATTCTGGCCCTGATGGTGCCAACCTATCCCCCTCGGGACTCCTTATCTGGAAAGTTGCAGCAAAGAGTCCACAGAAATTTACGCTTGCTTTGACAGATGACTGCAATGCTAAGACTAAAGTAATAATAGAGGTATTGACAGTCAAATTACCCCCACTAATTCATAACCAGTAAATTATATCATGGCAAAAGTCATTACTAGTTGCCAAGTGATAATTAGCTTTATTTGGTTTGTCTTCTAGGTCAATGTGAAATCATGCGATTGCTTAAATGATGGTTCATGTGTAACAAACATTAATTTCCCACCTGGAAGTGGGAAATATGTGTGCGTGTGTCTGCCTGGGTTCGAAGGTGATCTGTGCCAAGTGAACATTGATGACTGTAAATCTAATCCATGTGGTATTGGGAGATGTGTTGATGGAATAAACAGCTATCACTGTGAATGCACACCTGAGCTACAGGGTAAATTATTATTTTACTCATTTAGTGGTAAATTGCCATTTCTAATTTTCTTTGCATCTTTAGAACTATTATCTCTTATCATCCTAGTTGATTCATTTTACAATTCCAAAACAATGTTTTTACACCAGTAATTGTTTGCAGGCTACTTCAGACTGAAGACAATAAATAGTAGATATGCATTTCCTTCTCTGCCTCAGTTGCTGTCGTGTTTTCCAAATATTAAGTGCTGGATTCTTCCCTCATTTAAACCTACAGAAGCTCACTGAAGTCAGTGGGATAGCATGATTGTAACTGAGGGTAGAGTTTGGCCTGAAACCAGCACACTCATCACCTGAGCATCAAAAACACAGGAAATGAAAGGATTTAAGAGAGCCTAGGAGTCACAGAAGCCCCTGAATGAGCAGAGCAATTGCATTTCAACTGGTGCTAAAATTCCATGGTTCAAGGCCCCTCAATGCCTCTGTAGGGAGAGGTGTTCTTTAGCCTTGCAGTTAATCCATGGAGTGAGACCTGTGGCTATGTTTGGAATCACCTCCCTCCTATCCCTCTTTAAAAAGGATCAGCAGAACATTTGGAAATATATTTTTGTTTATCTTCTGTTCTTTTTTTTCTATTTGTCAAATTCAAAGTGTCAAATAAAACATTTTTCTTTTCCATTCTGATAAATAAAGAATGTAGATCCTTGCTCAGACAGATAACACCTGTTAAAAGCAAATTTCATATATTTTCTTTCTGAGACTTCAGTTCAACAATAGAGTTAAACAGAGGAGCATGACTCATATGCTATGCTTGAAAACAAGCACATGCTTAAGTACTTTGCTAGAGTGTAGCTCAGAAATCTCTATCCCTTTCAATTTCTGGAATAAGGAAAATATTCAGTATACTATGGAAAAATTGTTAATGTTGGGCCCATAGAGTTTATATAGTTTGTGCTTATACACACACACACACAGAATTTGTTTTGGAGTTTACTGTCCATATAAATCTACTTCATTTATATAAATTTGCAACCAATGTTAAGTAGCATGAACTGTAAACATCTGTGTTTCAAATTAGGTAGAAACTGCCAAGAAGATGCGGATGAATGTGCATCCAACCCTTGTTTCCCTGGAGTATTTTGCTACAATACCTTTGGTTCCTTTAATTGTGGTCCATGCCCAAAAGGTCTACAAGGAGATGGGAAGACATGTTATGGTAAAATTATATTTTTCCATCAGGCTGTAATCACCTGGCTTTAATTCAGATTAGATTTCTGACAGTAACATAAGAGAACTGTAAAAATAACAGTCTTTTCTACTTCCCTGCATTTTCATCAAAATGCATGTTTATTAGTCATAGAGCAGGCAGAGAATTATATTTCACTTGCTGTTATATGACCATAGACAACAGGCCCTTGGTGCAAATTGAAGTAGCTCCAGAGATGGCACTGAAACTACCAGCTGAAGTTTATACCAGCTACCAGTTTATACCAGCTGAAGATCTGAACTGTGCATTTCCTCAGATGTATAGAAAAAAAAAGGATCTATAGAAAGATAGATCTCTATAAATCTATACATCTAAAGATGTATAGAAAAAAGGTCATATGAGGAGAGGCTAAAAGATATGGGGGACTGTTTACTCTGGAGAAAAGACAACTTAGAGGGGACTTGGTGGCAGCCTATATAAGTATATAAGGGGCGTATATCATGGCCTGGGGGAGCATCTGTTCACCAAGGCACCTCAGGGGAAGACAAGAAACAATGGACACAAACTACTTGAAGATCGCTTCGGATTGGACATAAGGAGAAACTTCTTTATGATTTGAGTGCATAGGGTCTGGAACAGACTCCCACCAGAGGTGCTACAGTCATCTACCCTGGAGATCTTTAAAACACAACTTGACACGCACCTTGCTGGGGTCATCTGACCCCAGCAGTCTTTCCTGCATAAGTGCGGGAGGGCTGCACCTGATGATCTCATGAGGTCCCTTCGAGTTCCTAACATTTATGAATCTATGAATCTGTCAATATTTGGCAGATATTTAGTATTATAGAACTAGGATAGATAGTTACCATGAGCATGTGGTGGTTTTGTTACCATGTGCATTTATTGGCAAAATGCCCTAATACTTTTCAAAACAATCTAATAATATCTAATAAAATCAAAAGTGCTATTTGCTAAGGGACTGGCAAAGAAATTTGGTATGCTCTTATGCAAGTATTTAATTATTCAAACTTTGATATTCAAACTCAGGGTTTTATATATATATAT